TTTTTTTTGTGTTGAGTTGTTTTTGCTTAGAAATGCTAAAAAAAAATTTCATCCTTGTTTGCTAGATGGTTTTTGAGAAATTAAAGGTTGTTTCATATTTTTGTAAGATTAGTTGAAACGTAGGTATAAGAGAATTATAACAATAGAACTGATCTGAATCTTCTTAAAATCTTTAAATTATAAATTAAATTATAATAACATCCAGTCATTCAACAAAGTACAAATTACTTTACAGATTTCCTCTAGGAGAATAAATAAAACCTACAGCCTTAGATAAATCGTGGTCATTTTCAGATTATTCAAACAGCTGATAATAAAGGTTCTAAAGTTCCGCCAGTTCTGATACAACCAGTTAACGCGATATCTAATGATAGGTTAGCTAACGTAGGCCTTTCCTCATTCCTCAAACGAGCACTTCAATACCGGAAAAAGTGGAAACGAGTCAGGAAATGAGAGTGTTATTCGCACACCCAGTTGCCCAGCCCCTGTTGCTAAGACTATTGAAGTACAACTTTTTCAATACGTGTATCGAGTAGCAATTAGCTAGATTTTCCTGGTCAGGCTTCTTTATCCAATTACAGAAAACAGGTTTAGAATGATAAGAAAGTGTCCACTTGTCTGGTAATTATGTATGTTTAATGCCCTCCTTATACTGTAGCTGCTAAGTCAGTGGTGCTTTACCATAATATCGATAGTGAATTTTGTTATCCTGCGTATCATTAGTAAGAAAAGAGGGGGAAAGGACAGGACTTTATCTCATCATTATTTTATTTATAAAGTACATTTATCATAAAAAAATGACAATTTCTGACTCACTAGTTAACGCTACCTTACAAATGTTCATTCGCCATGGTATTCAAATGTCCCAAATATTTGTTCTCTTGAAATCTTGAAGTCTTGTGTGCTAAATTACAAAAAAAAATAGTTACTGATTTAGTAACTTAACATCTCATTGAGGCAGTCGTTAAGGCCATAGTTGTAGATGTTAGAGTATCAAAATAATAAACCCTGGCATCCCGCAAGACTCTGCCATTAGTAATGCAGTGCCAAATGTATAGTATTAACGGTTATCCTGGACTATTATGTGGTTTACCCTACTGCCAACATTCTTTGTTCAACAGCTTTATCGACCAACCGATCATAACCGATAACCGATCATAGTATTAATTTTGTTAAACACATTTAAATAATCACTTTTCATGTATTAACACATAAATGGTAATTAGGGAATTAAACTGTCTTTAAATGCTAATCTTTTTCCAATTCACTTCGACTACAGAGCACTTAACTCTGCATAACATTGACTTAATGATCTTTCAAAGCAATTCTCAGGTGGTAGAAAAAGAGAGAATATCTTCTTGCTATTGTCTGTGCAGGGAAACGGTCATCTTAAATATATTGAACTTGCTTCTCCACGAGATAAGTTGTAGCAGTGGTCAGGCTACTTTTGCTATGTATGAATGTTAGTAATGAGCTGCTTAAAGTTAGAAGATTACGCTCCGTTAGGTATGAAAATATGACATTATATGCAAATCATATAGCACTGTAGGCACTATTATTAATACATTAATAATATTAATAAAATTAGATTACTATTATTAGAGGCTAACGTTGGACGGCTGTATCTAGGGTCTGATGCAGAAGGCAGTCCTCCTTGACACGGCTCGTATAGTGAGGAAGTTCTGATCTTTGGAGTCCTAACCACCGGTCCGGACCGGTATTGGTCCCTGCACCTATACTATTTTTTAAATTTTTAAATATGTATTTTTTAATATATTTTTTATAGTATATTTAAAAATGTAAATAATATGCATATAAAGTAAATAAAGAGATTAATATTATAAGATCAATAGGTAGCTTCGTTAGCACGTTGGTTAGATTGAATTGCGATCTTTAAGACCTATGTTAAATTCTAGGGTCTATTAAATCTTACCAAAAATGTTCTAGGTTGGACAAGTGGGGGCAGATGGCAATAGACAGATTGTTTCCCCCCCCCCCTCCAACCCTGGTGAGATGTCGCGAGATTGGATTCAACCCCCTCCCTTAGTGGTTGAAAGCTAACAATGGACTTCAACCTGTTGTCACTAGATGGCAAGGGATGCATTAGCGGGACCGCTAAATACTTCAATTAAAATTAAAATATTACAGGCTATGGCAAAAATCATTAATAAAACCTAAGATCCATATGCCGCGAACCTTGTTGTTTCTTGGCGAAATTATGCTTTGGTGATAAAACGCATTAAATCTATAACAAGTCACAAACACTTAGTGTGTTTTTCTTTAACCCCATCTCTGCAATCTTTAAAGCATTTTTTCTAATGTAGCAATCGTACTCAACTATAGTGCCATCTGTGATTGTACCAGTATCATTTCAACTTCGATAGTCTTGATTGTAATCTGAGGTAGATTCATCCACAAGAGGTGGCGCTGATTTAAATGAAATAAAATGAAGCAATTAAAAATACCTTCGTTAGGAGATTTGAATAGAAGATATTTCGTATTAAATAAAAATATTTTATGAGATTTAAAATTAGTATAATCTATATAAATTTTTCTCTTTTTTAGAATGCGTAGAATAATCGAGGTACGCGCACCTCCCTCCGAATGACAGACCTGGGTACTACATAACATAGCCTGTTTGATAATTCTGTACAATTATACTTGTTATTGCATATGCCGTACAGCATCATTAACATTAGTAAGATGCGTCTATGCTCCAAGCTTAAGAGCTTAAAATGTTTCAGAAGATCTACATAAGAAATCTTAGTATGAAAACATTTGTAATAAGTAGTACGAAGAAATTTTTTCTGTACCATTTCAATCCTCTGCTTATATTTCTTATAAAAGGGACTCCAAATGGGTACAGCATACTCTAACTGGGAACGGACTAGTGCTTTATATAGGAAAATGTAGTGGGCTTTTAGAAGTCTTTACAAGAGCGCATGACGCAACCATACATCCGAAAGGCTTTACTTATGATATTGTCGACATGAATATCTAAATGTAATTTAGAATCTAGATGAACACCAAGATCTCGAGTACATTCGTTTTTCCTTAGATTTATGTCATTCAGTGTATATGGAAAGTTAGAAGTTAGAACTAGAAGTGAAACTTATTAAAGCGGTTTCAATAATATCTGCATTGTAATTAAATTTTCAAATTAATTATTAATTATTCTGCAACCATTACTCTGGTTGAAAAAAACCTTTTTGTATGGTTTAGATCAGCGATTCCTAAACTATTTTGGGCAAGAGACCCCTTTACTAAAATCAACTGATATCTCAGACCCCCATGGCCAAATTACTATATGCTTATCGCCTTTTTGTTTTTTTTTAAAGCACAGCAATGATACTTCCTACTAATAAGTCATTTTTACAACAAGTAGATACAATTTTTTTTTTATGGAATAGAGACGGGTCACCTGATAGAAAGCGACTACCGCCGCCCATGAGTACCTGCAACTCAGGAGTCAAAAGCGCGTTGCCAGCCTTTGAGGAAGGAGTACGCTGTTTTCTTAAAGGTTTGAAGGTCGTTAACTTGTTCCACAGGTTGGTAGTGCGAGGCAAAAAGTGTCTTGCAAAGTGCACGTAACACAACTAATACAGTGTCTTGAAAATAAGAACTTGTGTTAATTAATAGGCGTCGATTTTTAGACCTCGTCGAGCCCCTAACACAGTTTTCGTTTATCGACCCATTTGAAACCGAATTCGACCTCAAGGGGTCGGTATCCACCACTTTGGGAATCAATGGTATAGAATATTCATTGAGGAAGACTATAGGCTATGCATTTGAAACATCAAGCTACTTACGAATGCTTTAGAGAAGAGCAGCTCCACTGTAAAGATAAAACAGGGGAACAGTCAATCTTTAATATAGCGTAACATTTCTAATGTAAAGATAAAAAATGTTCTAATATGTAATAATCATTTGGCACACATATTTAGGTGTATTACTAGATATATATAAATATGTAGGTCCTATATAGTTATCAAAGTCTTGATGTAATATACTGATATAATAAAAATAATTTGCCCTAATATTGATGTCTTTATTTTATGTCATTTTGCTATATATACTCGTACCTTTATACACATACATTTTATATACAGCAGTGGACGTCTAATCCTGAAATGATGAATGTCTAGAATATTTCGTCTCCCACTTACTATCAGATGACATACGATCAGACAAGCCGTGAATGATTGCTGCAGCAAGAGCTATAATTTCTTGAGGTAAAGAGAAGAATAAAAAGTTAATCAAGATCACTTAGTGTCTTTTAAATGCATTAGAAGAACGTAGAAGGGATTTCCGTCCTATGTTACCCCCCTAGTTCCCCGGCTTCTGGTTACTGAGACGGCATGAGGTTTTTAGGCGGATTGAGTCCGACATAACCACATCCCCTATGGGAATTCCCTCACGTAAACAAAATAAAGGGGCATTAAAAGACCGGCAACAAGGCCCTTTATTAGGGTATATTGTTTATTACATTAACTATATTCCTATTCCAAATTATTGCACATCAATTAGGAAGAACACACAATAAGTTTTTATAAATAAATAATTATTTAAAAATGAATAGTTTCTGTTACAACCAATCACTCTGAAAGCACATTCATGTCTCCATTATTTTTTATTTACAACATCGTTATACATATATGTATAGTAGTAAAAGCAATTGGCACCTGAGGTGTAATTATAAAGAGTTTCGACTCCCGCAGTCTCAACTCGGGAGCCAGCTACTATACACGTACGTACTCCTATTTTAATTTATTCATAAACATCATGAACGCCTTGGAATCGTAATAGAAGTGAAATTATTAGAAAACAACACAATTTCCAATCTAAATTAAAATGTTTACAAACTGCATAAATTACACTGCTTGCGATACAGTATTAACTAATTTGTACATTTAGTTTAAAAGGTATATCAAGGCCTATATTTACATTACCTTAGTTTTTATAATAACATTTTATAATCTACAAACGTACTTAAAAATAAATTATGATGATTTATTTTCATTCTTATCACTTTTGTTCTTGGAATCTGACTTCTCATTTCTGCGGGCCATACGCTTTAAATAGGACTGGTAATTTCTAGACCTATGTTTACTTGCTGGTGTATAATGATAACCCAATGTGTGCTCCACTGCAGAAGGATTATCTTGATGAAGTCCACTTTCGCTGTAGGATGCAGACATTGGTTGAGAATGAACATACGATACTTTTTCAGATGTCGGATTATGAAGATATGTCTGTGGTACCATCACTTGATAGGGAATTTTATATTTTGATTGCGGAGATGGCGTTACGTAACTAACTGATTGAACCTTTACTGATTTCTGATTTTCAGCTTTTTGCTGTGTAGGGTAAACGGTAGCTATCGTGTGGTCCTTGCTAGGATAATTTTCAGTAAGGATCAATCCATGTTCACTCGATTCTTGCGGTTGGTGTTGATATACATAATTTTGATGGCCACTAGATTCAATCTGTGAGATATCAGATTCGGTTGCTTGGGAAGGATAAACAGATTCAGACCCTTGTTCAGACTGTTGATTATTTTGAATGTAGTACTCTTGTGCAACATCTTGTGCATTCTCTGTTGCTGAATAAGGCGAAGGAGATGCTGTCACCGATGACTCATATCCAGTTGGTAAAGACTGAGAATTTTCATCTTTTGGAACACTGTATTCCGAATTAACTCCATTCGAAATATCTCCATTAGAATTATCTCCATTCGAATTAACTCCATTCGAATTATCTCCATTAGAATTATCTCCATTCGAATTATCTCCATTCGAATTATCATATTGTACTTGATATTCAGACTGAGAAGAGCCATAACCAGTTCCAGCTTGAGCCTGAGTAGCCGCATATTCACTTAATATTTGTGCTTGAGGTGTTGCATACACACTTCCTAACTGTGCTAGAGATGCCTGATAATCAGCGGCTGATTTTGCCTCGGTTCCTGTGTAATCAGATGCTATATTTGCCTGACGAGACCCGTACCCAATATCATGAGTGACTGAGGATTCATACCCGCTTGTAACATGCCCCGGAGTTTCATATTGAATCTGGGCATTAGTATCTTGATTATCCACACTATGACCCAAAGAAGAGTATCCGCTCTGTAATTGTTCATATGCTGCTTGTTCTGCTTGTTGTTGGTAATGTGATGGCATGTAGTATTTCTGCGAGGATACACTTGAATGAGGAAAGTATTGATACTGATATTCATATTTTTGAGAAAGTGACGGTTGTTTATAATATGAATGTCCTTTGGAACTTGAATAATGATGCCGCGTGTAACTAGATGGATATTTAGCCATTACTGGTTGAACTGCTGAATACTGAACTCCAGAAGTATGGGAATGAGTATATGAGGGCTGAACATATGGATGAGCATAATGTTGTGGTTCATACTGGGACACGGAGGATCCTGCAGAGCTCTCAACTGCAGCTGATGACAAAGGACTGGAGTAAGCCATTACTTGAGGTGCAAAGTTATAGCCGCTTTTCTTAAAGTATTGGTTTACTAATTCTTGTAAATTCAAGTTATTTAAGTAATTAGACAAAGGATAATTATGTGGTAAATTGGCATACAGTTCAGCTGTAGGACTGGTTAATACCGAGCTTGGTATTCTTAGTACTAAGACAGGAACAACTTTCTGTTCTATATGAGAACCGCGTAAATGATCTTGAGTCAATCCAACATTTTGGTATTCAGGGTTTTTAATTAGTTGTGATGGATCAACTAAATAATTCTGCATTACCGTAGGAAATTGTCCACTTAGGGTGGAAAATTTATCACCATTGTATGTAGTATACAATGTCGATGGATGCGATGTATAGGAACTAGTAGAATATGCATGTGCGGAAGGAGTTTTGAACTCTACAGCCGGTTTTTCATAATTGTAACCAGATTTTTCATCTTTCACCTTCACTAGTTCAAAAGCTTGAGAGGGATGAATTTCTACACTTGTTTTAACATTCTTTCCATTTGACTTTTCATAATGATGTATGGTATGGAAAGATTGTACTTGTCCAGCGGGTGTTTCGGCCTGCGAATAAGGATATATCATAAATTTACCCTTTTCTTGAGAAGGTTTGCCGAAGTAAGAATAAGTATACCCGTTATTAGTTTTGTATCCATATCCAAGATTAGCATCGATAGTTCTTTTGCCTTTAGTTTTTGTGTCTGTATCATTAACTATCTCAATAGCAATGACTGCAGGAAAATGACCCGGTTGACTCGATGTAGCTTTATCGCTTTTAGTAGTATCATTTGTTTTTTCTTCTTTGATGGAATCATTTTGTATTCCAAATTTTGCTTCTATTTCCCTTAAGAATTTCTTTTCATCTGCCGTTAAGGTGCTATTAGAATGCTTAGTTTTTTCTTTGATCTGAGACTTATATTTTTTTGGATCAGGTTCAGCGCATATTGTCATCAGGAATCCACAGAGTATCTGAAATTGATAAAATAATTCCATTAATAATTTTATAAAAATGCAGAAATGACGGTAGTGTCAATTAATAAAAATATAGCTTGTGAATTAAACGACATTATCCCTTAATTAGAATTTTGCTCTTGTACACTTGTAGTGATAACTCTTTAATTAATTTGATAGAAGTGTTGAAGAAGAATATAAATTAATAATACATTACTGATAAATCTGTTATCAATGGCATCATTAAAAACTAAAACATAATCTAAATTTATCGTATCGTATTTACGTTGTTTTTATTCGTAAGCAATGTGAACTGCTAGATAGACAATTTTTATAGCATCTTTAGAGGAATTGACCGGCTACACAATATCGCTTTAACTGATTGCGTGTTAGACTAATCGTATACTTGAAGTATTCACTCTCGGAGTGAACACTGCTATTACGTAACATAACATTATCTCTATTTCGCAGTATGCTGTTATGTAGTAGTCAACCTTATGAAATTTTACAGGCAGTATCGTACAAAACACACTTACATTCAAATGTAAACTCACAAGATTTCAAATTCATAATTAAACTTCATTAAACATTATTTTCTGTCTTAACAGTTAGATAGGTTTAAAGTGTTCATTTATTCACTCAGTTAAAAGCTCTTACGTAATAAAAAAATCAGAGCCTACGTAAGAACCCGCGCCCCACGTGGCACGTGGTTGATTTCCACTGCCCCAGGGCATCATGAGCTCCCCTATTAATTACTGACTGAGAACTGTAATTAAAAGCTCAAGCAACACTTAATGTGGTGCTAGTTTATTGTATTGCTTCAAGATATTTGTTGCCAATTCGCTGCCCTGGAATTAGATTATAATATGGTTCTCAAACAAATATATAAAATTTAATTTTGTTTGTGTTTTTGGATGTTTATAACGAAATCCCAATTTTTAACATTGCCATGGGAGGAACAGTAAACACTTTAACTATATGTACATAACACTTTAAATAGGTAAGTGCGTTTAAATCGCAAAATAACTACAGATCGTCATGAACGTACGTAATATCAAGGTAGACGTATGCGTGCGGTCATCGATGCAAAATAAGATGAAAGTAATCAGTTTATCGTTGCAACCTACATAAACTTTAAGAGAAAGTTCTGCAGACCGAGGTCCAGCTCACTTAGGATTGCAACATTAACAATACATTTCCTTATTGCAACTTCAGTCCTGTCCAGACAAGACGATTGTGATTGAGGGTCGTTGGAGATTCGTATTCGTGACCGCTATTGTTTAAAATATAACCCCGTAAATTAGGAAGATATAATTGAAAATGCAATTAGGTATCGTGTTGCTGTTTAAAAGGACAAAATTTAAATAGTGAAGATATAGTACCAAACATGATCGTTTTGCGTACGGCGGTTATACGTAGTGTCTTATGTAGAAAATAAGTCAAACCAATCCTACTAATTAATGTGAATATTAAACTAAAAAATAGCTTGTGCAACGATACTGAGCATTTAAAAATATTTTGTAAAATAAACTTTTTTAGTAAAACCGCGACTTTGAATACTACACGCATTTCATCCATTTTTATATAATAAATATGAAAGTGAGTTTGTTTGTTTGATTTTGTTTTATTCATCGCACAAGATTAAAATTAAAAATATAAACACAATTGCAGTGAAGAAAACCCACAAGCGGTTTATGTATCACTGCCATCACTTGCTTTGTAATACACTGTAAATTAAAATTTCTGCGCATAACCTTTCACATATTTAACTATGTTCTGTTCCCAAACTAGACAGATCCTGGACTATGGTAACCAAACTGTTGATAAACATACTTATGAATTATTAAATACATACATATTATTGACTAGCTTTTGCCCACCTCCATGCCAAATTTCATCTAAATCGGTTCAGCGGTTATTGATTAACTATACAAACATCCACCCCCCCTTTTAACCCCTTTCAAGGATGATTCCCAAGATAAGAACTATCCTATGTCCTTTCCCGGGACTCAAACTATCTTTAAACCAAATTTCATTTCAATCGATTCAGCGGTTTAGGCGTGAAGAGGTAACAGACAGAAACTTTCGCATTTATAATATTAAATATAAATGTGGAAAGATTACACTCATACACAGAACAAATGATCGTGCTCATCACACAATTATTTGTCCTGAGTGGGAATCGAACCCACGACCTCCGGCTTAGTAGTCAGGGTCATTAACCACTAGACCAACGTTTGTTTGTTTGTCGCTCTTTCTAAACCACTGAACAGATTTTAAGAATTCTTTCACTGATGGAAACCCACATTATCAGCGTGTAACATAGGCTACTATTTACCGATAACCAACATACACGCAGGCGGAGACGTGGACAAAAGCTTTTCATTTTTAACTTAACATTTAACAAACTTTAATTTCATTATACAAGTATGTAATGTTTTTAAAGGGTAGTATATTAATAGGGATGCATGTACGTAGTAGTTAGTTACTGCTTAGTTAGTTACTCCTTGGAAGACTGCACTATCGTATCATTCGTATCGCAATTTAACAACACCCACTTAGGTACACTGTGCTGAGTTTTGAAATATCTGAATGTGTTCGACCCAAATTATTAGCAATCTTTACAATTAAAACCACGATCACAATATAATAATACTAGTGATTAAGTGTAGGTACGATTACAAATTGCCATTACATCACATAAGTAGTCTGATTACTAAACCCAATATAATAAATATTCTATGATTGATATTCGTGTTAATCATTGAGCCCTTTACGATCATCTAATCACACATAAATGAGTCAATTCAAATTCAAGATGTGCAATTGGCACATCTTGAATTAGAATTAAGTAATTTAGAAGATAATATAGCTAGCTTTGGTTTGGATAACATCTCGTAATAAGCATTAGATTGAAGATTTTTATTAAATTATATATTTAAATAAGGTTCTGATTTCAAAGGTTGTATATGTTTAAGTAATTATTGTCGTACTTGCTGTCGTTTTATATTGTAAGGCAAGAAACACAACTTAAAGAGCTCTAAAACAATTCTAGTTGTAATTCGCTATAAGTTAGTAGCAAAATGTGAATGACCCATATTTTAAAATAAACATAGGATACACTAAGTATACACACCAATAACGGTCAATTACCTGAAACATATGTAAATATCTAATAATTAGAATTTTATATATTATAATAATTAGTAATAATTAGAATTATTTCTATGAAGTAGTAATTTCAATAAGTTTAAAAATATGCAAACCCAGACATTTAAAGACAATTCCAAAGATGAAGAAGTATTGTGCACGTATCCTCTTGATTAAATTATTGAAAAAATAGTTTTAAGTGACAGTCTTAAACAGTAGCCATGTATTTGTAATTGAAGAAACGTTGTAATATTATTTTTATTTTTAGTACAATTTCTGATTTATTATAAATTTAAGTATCATATATCTGATAGCTTCGGTTTTATAACCAACTCCTGACATACGTAATTTTTATATTTACTTTAAAACAAATAGGTAAGTTTATTCCAAAAATATTGTACCTTATCAAATACGCTTACCTAGTAGGTACTGAACATATACTCAAATATTAACTTAACATAAATAATCTTTGATACGTAAACGAAATCAATAGAACTTTTGATTTTATAGTTAAGACTAATTTGTCATTTTAAAAATGAACGATGAAATCTTCTATTCTCGCTTTGTTTATCATATATTAACAACATAAACAGGTAAATCACTAGTGTCATAATCTTATATAATAAGAAAGAATAAAAATAGTTGAACTTACGCAACAAACTAATAAAATAACTTAATACACAAAATATGCGCATATTTCTATCTGACTTCACAAAATAGAAACGCAAATGATAATATGAGAATGCATTCACCGACAGTTACGTTACCAATTAGATCCGAAATTATTCATGTTTGTCATTTATTATGTTTGTTTGCCAGTTTATTAGAGGATTTTTGACAGAAAAAGTAACGTAATGTTTGTGTGTTTCAAACGATAATTTCGTTATGACATAATCCTAATAAATGTAAAGTACATTAACATATAGAAAGTCACGTAAATAACTTTACTCTGTCTCTTCGGGCTCAAGAATTTTTATTTATTGATTATAAAATTATTATTTAGTCACACATTTAAATAATATTTATTTACAGTAAAATGACTATTGATAGAGAAGCGCCAACCCTTAATAAATATAGAAAATAGGCAAGAAGAATATGGTGATGATTTGTTTGTTATTTTGCTTTTATTTAAAAAAACGAAGACTTTCCTTCATAAGTAGTCAATATATCTTTACGCAGTTCATTATTAAACATCGGAAATGGTGTCCTAAATGTACAAAGAAGGAAGGATCCCAATAATAGCGAGACTCAAAAAGTAACAAATGAAATGTGTGTCGTGATATAAACTCGTGCATTACAAACTTTCTCATGAACAGCCTGTAACTATGACAGGCTTTTGCTCAGAAAGCTCAATTGATAATATAAACGACTCTCTCTATAACAAGCAGTATACTTTATGTCTAGATACGAATGAATTCTAAAACCATATTTCTGTTAGATTTATACATTAAATTTGCCCTGTTTTTGTTACTGGATTAGGCGTTTCTATTCCAACTTATTTGATGGGAATGACGATAAAGTTGAAGATGGTATACGTCTATTCAATATGAACTCATTCACTCTATACTTTATTTTGAGAAAGACCTTTATTATGTGATAACATTTCTGAATTATGTTTATTTTTATATCTTCATCATCATTTTTCAACACCAATTCTTTTTTCAATACGTATCATCACGTGCTTAAATTTTTGTCAGACAATATCCTTCATTAACAGCTTGTAACAGTCCACTGCTGGACATATGCCTCTCCTTAGAAAGGAGGTTCTAGCCTACAATACCACGCTGGGCAGACTTGTTTTCTTTCTCTTTGCAGAGCTGTTGTCATGCGTAGTCTGATCCCTTAGTCGGCTCTTACGCCACCCGTGGGATGAATAGGGTTGACACTCCATATTCTTTATCCAATGTGCAAAATCCTTATACCTACTCCCTTAATTTCTAGAAAGTTATTCTTTAAAAATGATAATTCATTTTTTGCATAGTAGATCAATTCTCTTCTAAAGGTTCCTTTTGTGTTCTGTTCAATTAAACTTGAGAAAAAACTTTGAAAATATTTTCTACTGGACACCATTAACGTTAATAACGTCTATAAAGCAGGCTGATCTGTCAACTGGCATTATACGTAGTGCACGTAACTACGTGAACTATGTATAATGCCAGTCTAGGAGACATAAATTATAAAAAGAAAACAAAATCATGGATTCGTTGACAGATCAGCACCAAGTTGTAAAATTGTAGTTTGTATATAAAGTAATGTTTTAATACTACAACTAGAAGAAGATTATAATTGTTTTCAAAGATTTGTTTACATAGTTAGTTACTAGTGAACTTGAGAAAAACATATTACAAAGGAGTAGCTACCCGAATACAAAATAAAAATAGAATTGTATAGGCGACTGCCTAATTCATTAAACTAATTATTTTTCATAAATAATATCTATCTATATTTATTAAAGATATAGGGTTTTATTCACGTGTGTATTTCAAGAATACCTGAATAGTTCCATCGAAGCGGCCTTCTGCGTAGCGTTATTAGCAGACGGTATATCCGAAATACAGTCGTGATTAGATCTTTAATAAATTATAACTAAAAACTAAATCTAATCAAATCATATTGATAGTAATAAACAAAGTAATATACTACTGAAAGGTGCTAGAAGGTAATTGGTTTCTTTCTAGAAACCGATTACCTTCTAGCACCTTTCAGTAGTTATACAAGTGTAAGATTAAATATACTAAGCAATAATCGTCAACAACTTCCACACATCGACTATTGATAATATTAACAGTTAATTATATAATATCTCTAATCCAAACAACATCCGTATAAGAATTTATATTTATATACGGATGTTGTATCAATCTCCTGTCAATAAAATTAATAATATTGCATGATTAAAAATATTGCAAGAGGGTTTAATAATATAATAACTTAGAGTCGATTATCATATGATGATTTCATCGTAGTCCACTTCGGTATGTTTAGAATAGTTCATTATGCCCACAAAATTATATGTTAATCAATGTCCAATGGATTTAATTTTAGAACTCTTATGAAGATAATGAAGGCAAAACTATTACATTAAATAAAAGTAAAGGCAGAAAGGAATGTTTCCTATACAGTAAAATAAAGTGTATTTTTTTAAACAGAACTAGAAACCTACTGGTTTTTTTGATTACAATGTAGATATTTTAATTGCTTAATAAATTATTAAGAAATATAAATCCGAATTAAATCTTTCTTGTAAGTATTTTGATAAATGGTCAACAAAAACAAAATTTATTTAAAATAAGAATTTCAATGTATAGGTTTAACAGGAAGTTATAGGGCAGATTTTTAAAAAAGGCATAAAAATGTTTATGGAAATCCTTATTATTCAAAGTGAACAAAGCCTTTGATGATTTATACCAGACCTTAAACCTAAACCTTCAAGTCTTTTTTTACTTATTTCGTTACCCAAAAATTCATATAATAAAATAGACATATCAGATTTGATAAAAGAACCAATATTTTATAAACGTTTTAAACACATATACCTATATAGTGATTTGACAGTTCCGATCCCAATTTTTTTAAAGATGATTTTATCAAGAAAATTATTTTTTTTAAATAAAACGACTGAAGTACCTAATTAATACATTTCACCTATTTCCTTTATTTTGAGTTGACGTATTGCTATTGTTTAGACTCCTTACTAACTTAACCTTATCAGCAATGTCAACAAAACACCGTAAAGAATCTTTTATGTTTCATCTTACACTAGAGAAAATTATAAAATGGTGACCGATTGTACTAATTTTATTGATTATTCCAATTCAATTAAATTGTCCTCATCTGAAACGCTCCTTAATAGGCTAAGAATAAATATTTATTGACTTGGAAATACAATATTACTACCTATTAAATAGCAGAAAAATCGTATAGATTAGGTTGCTGTAAGTGCTGCAATTATATCAGTATATTCTTTTGTTTTCTAGTGAAGACACACCTCCGCATTCATGAGAAAATTTTACAGTCCAGTACATCTTGCATAGACATAATTAAACAACATTACAAAATACTCACCATTATGACTGTGACTTAAATTGACGTAATACGACAAAGTATGAGATCTTTTGTCTTGAAAATCGCCTGACCTATTTTATTTTCGCATGCTGTGAGCATTGCTATTTTACTGTAATTGGAAGCCATTTTGATACCTTCTAAAGACCCTACTTTAATTTATTAATAAGTGATTTTAGTTTTCGGAAATCCGTTTTGTTGACCAATTAAGCTAAGGAGTAAAGAAGTTATTTTACAACTTTCTGCATTATATAGTCCTGGACTGCGTCTATATTACTTAGTGTTTATTCTATAAATGCTTACATCTAGTAATTATATACTTGTTAAATTTATTGATAAAAAGTACCCACCTACCGTTGGTGCCTGGTTACATACCATTTCTCATGTAATTATTTTTTTACTATTGTTTTGAGACAGTAAAATTGAGTAAAATAAGATATAACATGATTATTTTATTGATATAAGCTTTTGCGACCATAAAGAAAAGAAGTTTTGAGAAGTTTCTTCCTTTTATCCTGTAGTGACAAGCGACGTATATTCTTTCATACAATAAACAAAACAAAATAAAATAAAAATAAAAAATACTATGATTAAAAATGTATTGAATTAGCAGTCGACTAAATGCTTGTCACATTTGTTATTAGGGTTGCGAATAACTGCAGTTGCCAAGGTCCACAACGCGCAAATGATATTGTTGGCCAACCCATTTGCTACCTAAAACTTGTTGCGTGTGAAGAATTGGAATATAACCGTTCAAAATACTATTCAAATATGATTGTAACTATGTCCCGAAACAATTCTAATGGTTGTATCATTTTAAACAAAATATTAATAATAACATCAATAAACTACTTTATAAATTATCTAGTTAGATCTAAGTAACGCATTTGAACTCTCCGCACGATTAATTAAATTAATATCTGAAACAACATTTACCAGCGCGTATAACCGCATCTTCAATGTGTTGTGTCTCTGGCCGCCGCACTTTCTGTCAAAAGAAAACAAACTTATGAAATCACGACACTACACATCACACCACTTATCACGATCACGGCACTAGTAAGCAGGAGTACCTGTGTGTTGTATAAAGAGAGGATATGGTCCGAACGGTTATATGCAAAGCAATGGTTTAGCGAAAGACAGCGCTACCTTCTTTTATACCTCGGAAACATTCTCACAAGATGCGCACGAGGCTTCGCTTGACCGAAAGCGCTCACTCCGCAGTTCACGGCAACGCGATACAGCGCGGAATAGCGCGTACAGTCCCCGCGACGAACTTGATTGCACGCTTTCACTGATAGGTGCGACACCAACATCAATTATCGTTTTTTTTTTTTTGCAATATTGCACTTGCCCAATTATAAGTGTTTATGTTCATTTTTAGGTAATTCTGATTAAGTACTTAGTGTTTGTATAGCTAATTGAATAAGAAATTTAAAATGAAGTGTGTAAAGAAATCGAAGTTTAATTACTTTTGCTTATAATATAACTAAATCCAAAATTTTTAATTTAGGCAAAAAAGTAATAATTGGATGTCATCGCCGCGCCGCCCATTCAAAATTCTTATTAATATTTAAAACCCTTATAAAGTAGTTCCTACTTTGCCGTCTTTACACTACATTATTAATCACGGCTTATCTTGGTACATATTATCTCTTCATATATTTCACATGATAATAAATAGTTTAAAAGTACACATATAACATAACATTGTTGTTTATCTGATTAAAATAATAATGTTATTGAAACATTAATATTATGTTCTTATTAAAAAAAAAAACACTGTTGCAGAAGGTATTAGAAACGACGCACTATTATCTAGAGAATATATTGTAAGATGAGGACAGTGGCGCTTTCAATATATTTGCATATAGCCAGTAGCATGACTGAAAACTTATATGTCATTCTTTTAGGAATTCTGCCCAAAAATCATTTGGTAAAATAAATAATAAAATCACATAAACCATACATAGAATAAAAATAATAAAATTGATTTAGAAATATTTCGAATAAAAAAGATCCAAGGGAGTTTAGAAGTGAAAAAAGCTAATTGGTACTATTTCCTTAAATTGTTTGAAACGGTCATGGAAGCTTAAAAAAGTCCAAAATAGCTAATGTTAAAAAAGTCCAAAATAAACCATCCACGTTTATCATCGAAAAACGGGGCGTTTTTGGAACGAACCTTTTGGCATTTCTCACAAGTGTTCGTGGTTTGTCCAAACACCCGCAATGAATATGAGATTAAGAATGTTGTTAGGGTTCCGTACCCTAATGGTGACTAATCTCTGAAATCAAATCCACTGGTTATTAATATCAGAATTTAATACCTAACTGATTTGTTTTACTTTATTTGTATTTACTAATGTGTAAATTCATATAGATGATCCTCAAATATTATTTACAAAATATCTAAGTATCAACAGTAAAAAATATGGTTTAAATAAAAAATATTCTTATCTTACTTGCAACAATTATTAAAGATAATCAGTTTTAATTTTATGAACTCGAGATACATAGATGTATCTTTTAATACCGATCAAGTGTATCTTCAGACAATATATTCACACAAATAAAAACAAATTTACTTTTGCTTTAATTGTAGTAAATGTATATATCACAATAAAAAGGCTGCCTACTAAAAAATAACGCACACATTATCTAAGTACATTAATGTCATTTTTTAAACGATTTAGCGATACGATCGTAATAAAATGTTCACTGGTGGATCAATTTAAAGGACAAGACAGAAACAATTTTCTATATAAACATTAAGTTTTATGAATAATAAACAATAACGTTGCAATTGCATTTGTAATATTTACAAAGAATTGCTAAGGATCGTCTAAAATGTCAATATGCAATCAATAATTCAATTGATAGTACCTATTCATAAGTTTAATAGGTAAATGGGAACTTGAAGTATCTAATTAAAGTTGAATAGTACGGACCGTTACTAAACATCTCGTAAAGTGACGTACACAAAACAGTGCTTTGTATTTTTCTGTTATATTAAACTACACGCCTGATGTTATTGCTCATGGTAATGATAATTTCAACAACTTTCTGTCATGATGTTCTTTGAAATTTTTGGCAAAGTCACCTTTTCTAGATTGGCGAGTAGTACAAAATCAGAGTTACCTACCTAAATATAGTCGGCGCGTTAGGGAAATTCTTACTATAGAAGAAACCATATAATTTGCGTTTCAACTTAAGCCATTTGTGTCACAGTGGGAAACTCTTCTATAGATTTTTGTACCAATATATATTTAACGAAATTGTACAAAACAGATGCATTAAAGACGTAAAAAAAATTGTAAATGTGAGCCACTCGAATCGGTGTCAAATAAATTTAAGTTCTCGATTTTCATTTATCAACATTCCTTATAACATTTATTTTATAATTACTTCACATGGAAAAAAGTAACTAAAATCCAGACATCTATAGAAACTATTACAGATATTGAGAAAAAAGTTGCGAAAACGATGTTAAAAATTGCTATTATAATTTGTGCCAAATTATAATAGCAATCTTTAGCATCGTTTATGGCTCATATTGTGCCTTTTGGACTGAAGAAGCGGTGATTTAGTCTAGTTTATATCATGTTTCTGAGTTTCAATAAAAAAAATTTTTGGTTATATATTATAAAAATGCAGTTAGAAAAATACCTTCTCTCAATTGACTCATTGTCTTAATGGGGAATGATCATAAATCGGACATCACTATCCTATTTAACTATTTAAGCCTATAATGCTCACAATAAACCATCTTAATCATTCGTTATGTTTATTGTTAATTTATTGTTTACTTCATAGCCTTTGTTGTTCTCAATTTTCGTATGTATCTCTTTATTTTTTCATTTTAATCAATCCTAAACTACTCCTACTAATTTTTTTTTGCTTAACGGTTTATATTTCGGATGTGTTATATTTATTTTTATTTAAACCTCCTTCCTAAGGAGAGGCCTATGTCCAGCAGTGGACTAGTAAAGGCTGTTGATGATGATGATTGATGATATTTATTTTTGGTAATGTAATAACTAGTAGAATCGTTTAAAAAAAAAAAAATACATGCATATTCCCTATCATATTTAAGGTTGGAGCAATGTATGAATTTTGGCTGGTATCTTGTAAAGCCCGCCGCTTGCCTGAGATCAACACTCCCTGAGAATGTAATCGTATTCAGGCGAGATGAAGGAAGATAGTGACATAAGAAAAGGAACGGAAGTTAGTGCAAGTTCTACCACAAGTCTCGGATAGTTGACGGAATTGATACTGTAGTAATTCGAAGAAGTTGGAGTTACGCCAATGTCCGTACAGGACAGAAGGCGAATTCTCGTAATAAAAGTTCAGTCAAAATTCAGTTCCCATCACTTTTTGATCTCGCTACTGTCATTAAAGGTATTTTGGTAGTAAAATATATTTAAAATATAATTTTCAAATATTACAGGCCTTCTGGTACATTGACTGGTCACTCAGAAAAAGATTCGCTTAACATATTCATTACAGAGTACAGTTACGAGAAAAGGTTTTGATTATGTTTCTTTTATATGCAATCATTAGACATTATTTCATGAAACTACAAAAAGCTACTGAATGTAAATGCAAATGTCTTAGACTGTCTACATGATATTGACGTGTATTCCAAGAATAACAGCTTAGTTTATGTGTTCAGATATTACAACAATGTTCGCACAATTTCCGCAAACATAATCGCACGCCTAATTATTTTTATTCGATTTTCGTAATCTCTTACACACTATTAATTACTGCAATTATTCAGAACAGGTAATTTATATTTTCCGTATACATAACACAAATTTTGTAACAATCAAAATCAATAGTGCGCGATAGCATTCATTTGCTGCAATCGCATGGCTATAAATAAATATACAAAAAATATGTCTACAGGTAGGTACCTAAACTCACATCTTGCTTCAGGACAGGCAGACACAATAACCCGCCATTTGCTTCTATCTTCCTTTACATAACTCACGAAAAATTTTATACGAGCTTGATGGTTTTGGCTTCTTATCTGCCCTAAATCAATTTAGAAGTTAAAGCTATATTGTTTTTTTTTTATTTTTGTACTCAGGAACTACAGGAACTAGTTCGAGTTACAAGTAGACGACCCTGACCTGCTCCAGCTAATCCTTACACTCTTCGATTCATCCGTATAATCGATCGATCTGTCCTTTCCTTGTCTTCCCTTTCCGTAACGGCCTTATTGCTAAATGCAATCACATCCAGGCTACCTATTAATTTTTGTTATTTTTATTTGGGCCATAAAAATGTAGTCAAATTAAGTTTAATACATTATGATTTAGTGATTTGTACAAAGTTTTACTTCATTAGTTATTTAAAGCTTCGTGTACAATTGTATGAAGGCACATTAATTTAATGCCCAGGGCATTTTCTAGCTGTAAATCGTTACAGTATAGATTATGTTGAACTTTTGTCGGATCTATTGGATTTAATTATTGATATAAGAACTAACTTTTGTTACTACTAAAAAAAAGCCTTTGTTACTCACTGATAAATGTAGCTACCCATCGGTGAAGGTTAAATTGGTTTAGTGTAACACTTTCATATTTATAATAAAAGTATATATTTATACATATATATTTTATAATACATTATTTTTTCATAGCTCTAAAAATAACGTAATAAATTTTAATAAAATGTCAAGAATATTAAGAATATTAATGCCGACAAGAATATTGAATTAACTAGAAATGTGATACCAACAAAATTGATACTATCTGATATATCAGATATCAACAAAAAATTAAGCAAATGTAATAATATTATTTACAGGTATTGTGATATCCAATAAGAACCACGGCTATTATACAGTTCATACGAATTAGAACTCTGTCCTGTGCCTCGGTCATAGCATACGACATACATAATATATTATTATGTACATACATAAGTGCGATCTCTGTGCAGTGTCATCATTTATCTTGTTGCCGTATTATGAGTCGTCTGAGATGTTTCATAACGCAGAGTTAAGTGTAACACGTTCCGTTATGTACATCATTAGATATTCCAAAAACAAAAAAGTGCATCATTTTGCAAGCTTTTAATTGAACCTACACTTATTTGGCACATCAAGGCCGTGTACCTGATCATAAAAGTAATTACGTTTAACATGATAGATTCGTCTGATTACAGGCATCAATAGTGAAAACATCAAATTGATCTATTCAATAGTTTCTTTATTAGGTAAGATTCCGATAGTTAAGACCGGGATAGTTAAAATGCCTTCGTTCAGCAGTGAACGGTGATAGGCTGATAATCATAACGAAGATTTATC